AAAGGAAATATTGATGAAATGAATACATTAAAATGCAAAGATTCCACATTGCATGCCATGACATGTTAACTGGAGGGATGCAATCTGATGTGGCAGTGTGATGTGCCGTGCTACTATATCCATGCTTATCTTTCTTCTTAGTGCTTATCCTAATGAAACATTGGAGATATTTATACCATTGCATAACAAATGACTTGTCATTTATGCTTTACAATAGAAGATGTTGACTTCAAGTACTATCGTATTAGGTTAAAGATGTGTGAAGGATAGGCTGGGTGTGGTGGCTCACGCCTGTAATCTCAGCACTTTAGGAGGCTGAGGGGTGGATCACTTGAGCCTAGGAGTTTGAGACCAGCCTGGGCAATATGGTAAAACACCATCTCTACAAAAAATACAAAAATTAGCTGGACATTGTGGCTTATGCCTATAGTTCCAGTAACTTGGGAGGTTGAGGCAGGAGGATAGCTTGAGCCTTGTAGATAGAGGGGTACAGAGGGGTACAGTGAGCTGAGATTGTGCCATTGCACTCCAGCCTGGGCGATAGATAGAACCAGACCTTGTCTCAAAAAAAAAAAAAAAAAAAAAAAAAGATATATGAAGGACAGCAAGAGGTTAGGCAAGGCATAATGGAGTTCATCCAGAAATTCAGTTAGTACAGAGTGGAGGCTCCAAGTATGCAACTCGGGCCAGGAAGATGACAAGTTTGGTGGAAATAAAAAAATGTGTAGTCAGGAGGCTTGGGTTTCATTCTTTTTTTTTTTTTTTCTTTTGAGACTGAGTCTTGCTCTGTCATCCAGGCTAGAGTGCAGTGGCGCGATCTTGGCTCACTGCAAGCTCTGCCTCTCGGGTTCACGCTATTCTCCTGCCTCAGCCTCCCGAGTAGCTGGGAATACAGGCGCCCGCCACCATGCCCAGCTAATTTTTTGTATTTTTAGTAGAGACGGCGTTTCACCGTGTTAGCCAGGATGGTTTGGATCTCCTGACCTCGTGATCCACCCACCTCGGCCTCCCAAAGTGCTGGGATTATAGGCATGAGCCACTGTGCCCGGCCGCGTTTCATTCTTTTGTGTCACTAATTTTGTGATCCTGGCCAACTACATGAAAACCTCCTCATCTGTAAAAGGAAATCATGCAGAGCTGTCTAACTGTTGAATGAGATATGACATGAAAATGCTTCATACAGCCTCTGACATCATAGGCACTCAATGAATACAAGTTCAAGGTAAATACAATTTGTGAGCACAGAGATAGCACTAAACTAGACAGTAAAGAGGTCAACACGGGAGGAAGTGAAAACCGCGGGATACATCTAAAGTGACCAACCATCCAGGCCAAGTTTGCCAGGGACAGTCACAGTTTTAGCACATAAAGTCTTGCATTTGGGGAAACCAGGTAGTTCGGTTCTGGGAAAACCAGAATGGTTGGCCATCCTAGCTCAGAATCTAGAATAGGAGCGCAAACAACAAGGATTGGACCCCAAGAAAAAACAAATGGCCAGAAAGCAGGAATGGAGTCTGGAAACACTAGGAAGAATGGTCCTGATGTTGACCAATATTTCTCAGGCACCAGATAGCAAAACAGGCTCAGCGTGTGAGTAGGAATAAACCCATAGGTGGAAGTCAGTATACACACCTGACTTAATGAGGAAACCTTAGGAGCCAGGTAGTGCTATGCAAGACAAATTTTACAAAATTATTATTTTTTTCTTTTTTAAAGATCTGTCACTCAGGCTTGAGTGCAGGGTGCCATCAAAGCTCACTGCAGCCTAAAACTCCTGGGCTCAAGCGATCCTTCTGCCCCAGCCTCCCAAATAACTGAATGGCAGACACACCACTGTGCTGGGCTAATTTTAGAAATTTTTTTTGTAGAGATGGAGTCTCACTTTGTTTTCAAGGCTAGTCTTGAACTCCTGGCCTCAAGCAATCCTCCTCCTCAGCCTCGAAAAGTATTGGAATTACAGGTGTGAGCCACTGTGCCTGGCCCAAAATTAATTTTGTAAGTGACTTTGGTGATGAGCTAAAATGAACAATTAGGAAAGGATGGTTTCTTCAATAAATAACGCTAGGACAATAATTATCCACTATTCAAAAGGAATCGAATTTTCTACCTCACACAATACAGAAAAGTTTATAATTTAGAAACCTAAATAAGGGGGAAAAAAAACTTTAAACATTTTAAGAGAAAATAAAGGAGAAAAGCTTAATAAAGATTTCAAAGCTAGCTGCAGTATCTCACGCCTGTAATCCCAGCACTTTGGGAGGCCTACACAGGCAGATCACTTGAGGTCAGGCGTTCGAGACCAACCTGGCCAACATTGTGAAACACCATATCTACTAAAAATACAAAAATGAGCTGGGCTTCTTGATAGATGCCTGTAATCCCAGCTACTCGGGAGGCTGAGGTAGGAGAATCGCTTGAACCCTGGAGGCAGAGGTTGCAGTGAGCCAAGATTGCACCACTGCACTCCAGCCTGGGCGACAGAGTGAATGAGACTCTGTCTCAAAAAAAAAAAAAGATTTTAAAACAAGCAATAAAAATGAATTAGATTCATTAAGTTGATTAATTTATTTATCTTATTTTATTTTTATTTTTTTTGAGACAAAGTCTTGCTGTGGTCGCTCAGGCTAAGTGCAGTGGCACAATCTTGGCTCACTGCAAGCCTTTGCCTCTTGGGTTCCAGCAATCCTCTCTGCCTCAGCCTCCTGGGGTAGCTGGGATTACAGGCACCACACCACTACACCAGCTAATTTTTGTATTTTTAGTAGAGACGGGTTTCACCACTTTGGCGTCTGGTCTCAAACTTCTGACCTCAGGTGATCCACCGCCTTGGCTTTCCAAATTGCGGGATTACAGGCATGGGCCACTGCACCGGCAAGTCGATTGCTTTAAAATGAAAAGATTCCATGAACACAGGGAACAGCCAAGCCATAAACTGAGAAACAATATTTGCAATATATCAAGCCCATAAAGTACTTATATCAGCAAGTACTTTAAGGAAAATGCCAGCAATCCAGTAGGCATAGGATAGGAATAGGCAATTCATAGAAGAAACTTCAGTAGTAAAAACATATTTTTTTAAAAAGCTCAGTTTTACCACTTGTCAGAGAAATGCAAATTGAAACCACAATGAGATAACATTTTATATCAAGCAGATTGTCAGAAATTAAAAAGCCTGCCAATACCAAGCACTGGCGAGAATGTGAAGCCACAGAAATTTTCTTACACTTGTACTGAGGGTGTAAAATACAACCATCTTGGAGAGCAAATGCTCAATAGCTATAGATGTTTTGAAAGTATACACTTGTGCAATACCTCCTCGTGCAGGCTGGAGAAACTCGCAAATGTGTGCACAATGGGTCAGATATAAGAGTGTTCACTGTAGCATGGTTTATAAGAGCAAAAGACTGAAAACACTCTGAATGTCCATCAGCTGTAAATTAAAAAAATTGTATAATTCATTCAATGGAATGCTAACATACAGCAGTTACAGTAAATGACTAGATGACCAATATCACAAAATATCAAGAAAAAGTAAGTTGCAGAAATATTTATACCATATGGTATCCCTTATGTCAGCTGTAAAATATGTACAATATTATACATTTTATGTGTACACAAATATGTAATAAAAATACAAAAACAGTCACAGAGATAATAAACCAAATATTGACTACTTCTAAAGAGAAAAAGATGGACATGAAATCAGAAATAGTTAATAAGGCATCAAACGTGTCTACTACATTTTATGTTTAAAATATCTGATGTAAGTAAAGCAAAACGTTAAGATTTGACAGAGTTGAGTGGTAGATACATAACTTATTTCATTCTCTAGACTTTTCTGTATGCGTTAAGTATTTTATTTTGACAAAATGAAAACAATGTTATTGACATTTAAATTCAGATTATTTCAGAACTACTCTAAAATATTTTTAAAAGCAAAACTATGCTTTCAGGAGTTGGCAACTTAACAAAGCCAAGTTTAACAGTCTGTTCAAAGAAAGTTAAAGTATACCTTGTCCTGACACATATTTCACTGCCACTTAACCAACACTAGATGTCACTTTACTTCATGCATTTAATTTGAGAGTTTCTGGTTGAAATTAAGTAAACTTGGGTATGTTTTATCATTTTCTTTCTCCAGTAGATACAGAGAATTAGGAAAAATGAAAATGTTCTCTGCTATATATCCATCCAGGAAGACAAAGGACATGTGTATTTGGGTTTATCCTTTTATCCTTGGCACCTACTGCATATAACAGGGTTGCAAAAGTATTGTTAACCAAATAGACAAAGGATACAAGAGACTTTCACAGAAGAAATGTTTACTATCCCCAACATGTATATAATTACATTTGGAACAATTTTTCCTTCGAACGGCAGCGAGCGGTTGAAAGCAGACCTCACAGGGATTTGCAAGGGAAAGCTTATGACTCTAATTTCAAAGCCCAGCTTGTGGTCAGTGGAGAGAAGACACCATTTCAGATCTTCCAACCCAAAGTTGTATCTCAGTTCATTGGAGCATTGCCTCTCCAATAAGGACTGACAAATAAGAACTCCTTAAATCAATAATTGAACCTTTTTAGAAGGAAAGGCACCTTTGATAATCATGAAAACCATGAATTCTCTGGAAATTTTCATCTAAACATATAAAAATCAGCCAGGCGCAGTAGCTCACACCTGTAATCCCAGCCCTTTGGGGGCCACGGTTGGTGGATCACTTGAGGACAGGAGTTTGAGACCAGACAGGCCAACACAGTGAAACCTTGTTGTTACCAAAACAATACAAAAATTAGCTGGGCTTGGTGGCACGTGCTTGTAATCCCATCTACTCAGGAGGCTGAGGCAGGAGAATTGCTTGAACCTGGGAGGTGGAGGTTGCAGTGAGCCGAGATCACACCACTGTACCCCAGCCTCGGTGACAGAGTGAGACCCTGTCTCAAAAAAAATATTTTTGTTAAACATATAAAAACATATAAAATTGTTACATGTAATTTTTGCAGATTTGCAGACCTCCTAAAAGCTCATGCATGAACTCCAGGTCAGGACCCCTTGACCAGAATGGATAAAAGCACTTGCCGAAGTGCCTTTCCCAAGCTTTCTTAAACTCTGCCAATAACCAGAATTTCAGCTGAGGCTGGCACATATCACGTGAACTAAACGACGTGACCATACAAATGAATGGAATGGAAACTAACCCTGTAAATTCAGGTAATTACCCAAACGTGGGCAATGTCTACTTTGGAAATATTTGACTTATGGATAACAATCAAAGTGTTTTTATATACATTTTTTCTAAGAATAATTAAGAAAAAAAAGTAATAGATTTGTTTGCTAAAATATTTATTTGGAAGCTTGTTTTTCCTTGGGGAGCAAACCAAATCCTAGGAGTTGCTCCACATAATATATTTTCTAGTGCCTGAATGATTGTTCAACTGTTTTCATTTTACACCTTCTAACCGGAAAGAACTAGTTTATAATTTTGTTACTGATTTTCTTGCATCATAAATATTACAGAATAGCCCAAACTAGGTGAAATTAGTTCATTGTATGAATACAAACTAATGAAATTTCACTACGTTGTGTAAAGATACTCTAAATCAAATAAGCTTGAAACTCCTTTATCTTCTTTGTTCCAGAGTCTTTCCTTATTAAAAAGACTTCTTAGGCTGGGCACAATGGCTCACACCTGTAATCCCAGCACTTTGGGAGGCCAAGGCAGGAGGATCTGTTGAGCCCAGGAGTTTGAGACCAGCCTGTGCAACATAGTGAGACCCTGCCTCTACAAAAACGTTTTAGAAAATTAGCCAGGCATGGTGGCACTGCCTATGGTCCCAGCTACCTGGGAGGCTGAAGTGGGAGGATTGCTTGAGCCTGGGAGGTTGAGGCTGCAGTGAGCCATGATTGCACCACTGCACTCCAACCTGGGCAACAGAGTCAGACTGTCTCAAAAGAAAAAAGAGACCTCTTTCCAGGGACCCCTCTCTTTCCAGGGACACTCAGGTCTGTTAACCACATATCAAGATTTCAAAAACAGGTGTTCAATGACAAAGAGGGTTCTTCTTCTTCTTCTTCTTTTTTTTTTTTTTTAATGAAACTCCATTTCATTATAGAGGGTAGTGGTGTGATCATGGCTACTGCAACCTTGACCTCCTGGGCTCAGCGATCCTCTTACTTCAGGCCCTGAAGTAGGAAAGACTATAGGAATGCGTCACCATGCTCAGCTATTTTTTTCTTTCTTTTTCAGACAGAGTCTCACTCTGTTGCCCAAGCTGGTGTACAGTGGCATGATCTCGGCTCACTGCAACTTCCGCCTCCCGGGTTCAAGCAATTCTCCTGCCTCAGCCTCCCGAATAGCTGGGACTACAGATGCTGCCACCACACCCAGCTAATTTTTGTATTTTTAGTAGAGACAGGGTTTCACCATGTTGGCCAGGCTGGTCTCGAACTCCTGACCTCAGGTGATCTGCCTGCCTTGGCCTCCAAAAGTGCTGGGATTACAGGCGTGAGCCACCACGCCCAGCCGCTCAACTAATTTTTGAAATTTTTTGTATTGATGGTGTCTTGCTATGTTGCCAAGGCTGTTCTCAAACTCCTGGGTTTAAGCAATCCTCCTGCCTCAGTCCCCCAAAGTGTTAGGATTACAGGTGTGAGCCACCACACCTGGCCAGCATTCTTCTTTATCATGATCACCCTGTTACTGAAAGTATGTTATAGGCTATAGTTACAGTAGATAAATTGGGCCAATTTTTAAGAAGTATCATTTTACTCACTGGAGATTATGTTAATGCCATGAGAATGGTAAAACCAGAGTTTGTTTTTCTTCTATTATGCAACTTTGCTATATGTACTAGACCATGATAAAGTAAAGCAGTAGTATATCAGAGTCCTGATTTGGTGCAGTGATCATTTATAGGCTTAGCTGGTCATAGCACCCATTGTGAAATTACATGCAGAAAATGGATCCTGCTTTAAGAGAACAGAATCTAACTTGGATTCTAATTCTTCAACCAACCACGAAAAACTTCCACACCTCTTTCTAGGAGATGCAGAAAAACACCCTTTATCAGAGTCATTAAGAGCTTTACATTCAGAGTTGTTTCCTTAAGGTAAAGAGCCTGAGTGCTAACCCTTCTTTGTAACTGACAAAAACCCTAGCATGTTTTCTTAAAGAAAATTATTATTATATATACATTTTTCTCCAGAGTTAAAATGTTGATACTGATAATTTTCTTCAAGAAAACATCCTAGAGATATTGTCAATTATAAACAAAGGAGTGTCAGTACTCAGGCATTTTAACTCTCTGGAGAAAAATTTATATTTTCACAACTAAATACTTTACCATTTATTCAATAAAATCTGTAAATTTTCAGTTATTGATTTAACAATTTCTCTCTGACTTTAGAACTTGACATCATTTGACTATTATAACAAGTACTTGATTTAATGACCATCTTTTTCTCTGGAAGATATCATCCTACATGAGTAGGCTTAATCAATAGACTTGATTTGTTTGTTTGTTTGTTTTTGTTTTTGTTTTTTGAGACGGAGTCTCTGTCACCAGGCTGGAGTGCAGTGGCACGATCTCAGCTCACTGCAAGCTCCGCCTCCCAGGTTCAAGTGATTCTCCTGCCTCAACCTCCCGAGTAGCTGGGACTACAGGCGCGTGCCACCACACTCAGCTAATTTTTGTATTTTTAGTACAGATGGTGTTTCACCATGTTGGTCAGGATGGTCTTGATCTCTTGAACTGGTGATTTGCCCACCATGGTCTCCCAAAGTGCTGGGATTACAGACATGAGCCACTGCTCCCGACTTTGTATTTCTATTTCTGTAGTCATGATTCTATAATCTCATTTGATCATTCCATCAATTTATGGTTCTATAGTAAAATATTTTGTTTGTATATGTTCACATCATATACAAAATGTAAGTGTTCATTTTACCATCATTTCTTGACACTTTAAAAATTGTTAGCATTTTCTAAAGTTTAGAATTACTCAGCTTGGGGGTAAGTTCAGTGAGGACTGCTGGTGGTAGATAGCATGAGACCTGGGTAATACTGAATACAGCTCTGTGTCTAAGCTGCTCTTTGGATCAATAGACTTTCTTTCCGGGCCAAATTATATATCCTTTTCATTGACAGGTGACCATCTCAACGTCTTGTAGCCTTTTTTCCTTCTTAGAAAACACAATAGAAATAAATGGGTGAATCCAAAGCAGTATAATTTTAGCAAACAGAAAAGATATTCCACTCCTTCTGGAGTGTAATGGCATAATCATAGTTCACTGTAGCCTCAGTCTCCTGGGCTCAAGTGATCCTCCCACCTTAGCCTCCTGAGTAGCTGGAACTATAGGTTTGTGCCACCATGCCTGGCTAATTTTTGTTATCTTTAGTAGAGACGAGGTCTCAGTATGTCACCCAGGTGAGTCTCCAACTCCTGAGCTTAAGCGATCCTCCCTCTCTGTCTCCCAAAGTGCTGAGATTACAGGTGTGAGCCATCATGCCCAGCCCCTTATCCATTTTAAACCTTCATGTATGCCTTTAGAGAATGTCTTTCTTGCCCCTTTTTAGCATATCCAAACTGTATCATAGTCGCCATCCAGCCTTTTTTTCTTTTTCTGGGTCTCCCAGTCTCTAGCATGTTTTATCGCCTTATAGTAGTCTCTCATTGCTTTATGTGCAAATTATTACGTGCCAGATCAGATTGTACATCTCTTGAGAACAATCTTGTGCTTTATTTACCAAGCTTGGTAAACGCTGGATATATAATCTACTTTCCTTGCATTTAATTATCGCTAAAGAGTTGATTCCCAATTTACTTTTTCCCCTACCATTTTTACATTTTGTTGGAGAATGTTTACTTATGTGCTGGGAAACATAAATAAAGCCCAAGATTGTTCTCAAGAGGCTTACAATCTGATACAAATTTATAAACTTTCTTAAAACATTATGAGATTTTTTTTTAGCTCATCAGCTTTCGTTAGTGTTGGTTATCCCCAAGACAATACTTCTTCTTCCAATGTGGCCCAGGAAAGCCAAAAGATTGGACACCCCTGGTTTAGACTATTAATAAGCAGTTCTTATTTCTGAAGAAGTTTTGGGTCATATTCTTCTCCCCTTTTTTTGTCTTGATCTACTGTAGGTGAAACATTTGTAGATTAGCTGGTTCCCCTTCATTCCTTCGCTTCTGAAATGTGTGGTAAAGTAAAAATGCCTAAAGCAATAATTTGTGGATAAAAACAGCTGCACATGAAAAATAATTGATGTGGTTTAAAAATTACTCTGAGATGGAAAATAAGATGCCTTTTCAACCTACACTCTAAAAAGAGTACTAAAGCTAATTCTTTATAAATCATGGAATGGAAGCAAAGAAAGACACGTTTTTGGGTAGTCAATCAATTTTAAATAAGGAGAGTTTTTAAATTTTGTATAAAAAATTAGAAAATGTTCAGTTCCCTAAAAGGACATAGCTGAAGATGAAGAAAGTCTTAACTATACACCCTTAGCAATGTGGGTTTAATGTTTTCTATAATTATAAATATGAAAGCTGATTGCTTTGGTTTCTTTATAAGTTAATCATTTTAAACATCACACACCAGGGCCTATCGGGGGATGGGGGGCAAGGGGAGGGAGTGCATTAAGATAAATACCCAATGCATGCGGGGCTTAAAACCTAGATGACAGGTTGATGGGTGCAGCAAACCACCATGGCACATACATACCTGTGTAACAAACCTGCACATTCCACACATGTATCGCAGAACTTAAAGTAAAATTTAAAAATAATAATAAATTAACTTTTTAAAAAAAATGCCTTTGTAGTTTTAGCTTTTTTCTATTATCTCTCTGCAACTTTCCTGGGAGTGACCCAAGCACAAATATTCTCTGCTTACAGTACTTCCCAAGGTGCTGTTGTCACTGCAGTGCTGCCCTAATGCCACCTGCACCTGGCCTGCATGTGTGTTTATGATGCTAAACATTGGGATGGGACTAGAAGATTCAACAAGATACATCAATGTGACACAGATACTATTTGATTGATTTTTTTTCTTCTTGTGTAGATCTATATAGAGCCATCATTTCTAAACTTACAAAAGTGCTTTCATTTTAGTCACTTATTTCTTCATCTGAAATTCTTTGCTCTAGACAGGGGTCCCCAACTCCTGGTCCATGGCCTGTTAGGAACCAGCCTGCATAGCAAGAGGT